GATAAAGCTATTTGTGGCTAAAACTTCTTATAACACTCAACAGGTTTTTTTTTCGCATATCTCCCCTCCATTAGCATGCATAGCCCAGCACACACAAAAAAAATGATTGGTTAGAGATAACGTTTGTTTATTATCTTCAAACTGGTACAATGTAACTACAAACGTGTTTTCATGAATATTATTGTTTTACAACTTAAAGACTGGGTTTCATGGTAATTAAACAAAATTAGCATAGTGTGCTAAGGAGTTTCGAAGAGAAAAAAATAAGCAGTCATCTTTGACTTGATATCTCCGCTTTTCATACAGAATGGAATGTGACTGGAGAGTTTAAGGAATATGACTGGAGAGTTTAAGGAATGTGACTGGAGAGTTTAAGGAATGTGACTGGAGAGTTTAAGGAATGTGACTTGAGAGTTTAAGGAATGTGACTGAAGAGTTTAAGGAATGTGACTGGAGAGTTTAAAGAATGTGACTGGAGAGTTTAAGGAATGTGACTGGAGAGTTTAAGGAATGTGACTGAAGAGTTTAAGGAATGTGACTGGAGAGTTTAAGGAATGTGACTGGAGAGTTTAAGGAATGTAACTGAAGAGTTTAAGGAATGTGACTGGAGAGTTTAAGGAATGTGACTGGAGAGTTTAAGGAATGTGACTGGAGAGTTTAAGGAATGTGACTGGAGAGTTTAAGGAATGTAACTGAAGAGTTTAAGGAATGTGACTGGAGAGTTTAAGGAATGTAACTGAAGAGTTTAAGGAATGTGACTGGAGAGTTTAAGGAATGTGACTGGAGAGTTTAAGGAATGTGACTGGAGAGTTTAAGGAATGTGACTGAAGAGTTTGCTACAGAAAGGAATGTGACTGGAGAGTTTAAGGAATGTGACTGGAGAGTTTAAGGAATGTGACTGGAGAGTTTAAGGAATGTGACTGGAGAGTTTAAGGAATGTGACTGGAGAGTTTAAGGGATGTGACTGGAGAGTTTAAGGAATGTGACTGGAGAGTTTGCTACAGAAAGGAATGTGACTGGAGAGTTTAAGGAATGTGACTGGAGAGTTTAAGGAATGTGACTGGAGAGTTTAAGAAATGTGACTGGAGAGTTTAAGGAATGTGACTGGAGAGTTTAAGGAATGTAACTGGAGAGTTTAAGGAATGTGACTGGAGAGTTTAAGGAATGTGACTGGAGAGTTTAAGGAATGTGACTGGAGAGTTTAAGGAATGTGACTGAAGAGTTTGCTACAGAAAGGAATGTGACTGTAGAGTTTAAGGAATGTGACTGGAGAGTTTAAGGAATGTGACTGGAGAGTTTAAGGAATGTGACTGGAGAGTTTGCTACAGAAAGGAATGTGACTGGAGAGTTTAAGGAATGTGACTGGAGAGTTTAAGGAATGTGACTGGAGAGTTTGCTACAGAAAGGAATGTGACTGGAGAGTTTAAGGAATGTGACTGGAGAGTTTAAGGAATGTGACTGGAGAGTTTAAGGAATGTGACTGGAGAGTTTAAGGAATGTGACTGGAGAGTTTGCTACAGAAAGGAATGTGACTGGAGAGTTTAAGGAATGTGACTGGAGAGTTTAAGGAATGTGACTGGAGAGTTTGCTACAGAAAGGAATGTGACTGGAGAGTTTAAGGAATGTGACTGGAGAGTTTAAGGAATGTGACTGGAGAGTTTAAGGAATGTGACTGGAGAGTTTAAGGAATGTGACTGGAGAGTTTAAGGAATGTGACTGGAGAGTTTAAGGAATGTGACTGGAGAGTTTAAGGAATGTGAGTGGAGAGTTTAAAGAATGTGAGTGGAGAGTTTAAGGAATGTGACTGGAGAGTTTAAGGAATGTGACTGGAGAGTTTAAGCAATGTAACTGAAGAGTTTAAGGAATGTGACTGGAGAGTTTAAGGAATGTGACTGGAGAGTTTAAGGAATGTGACTGGAGAGTTTAAGGAATGTGACTGAAGAGTTTAAGGAATGTGACTGGAGAGTTTAAGGAATGTGACTGGAGAGTTTAAGGAATGTAACTGAAGAGTTTAAGGAATGTGACTGGAGAGTTTAAGGAATGTGACTGGAGAGTTTAAGGAATGTGACTGGAGAGTTTAAGGAATGTGACTGAAGAGTTTGCTACAGAAAGGAATGTGACTGTAGAGTTTAAGGAATGTGACTGGAGAGTTTAAGGAATGTGACTGGAGAGTTTAAGGAATGTGACTGGAGAGTTTAAGGAATGTGACTGGAGAGTTTAAGGGATGTGACTGGAGAGTTTAAGGAATGTGACTGGAGAGTTTGCTACAGAAAGGAATGTGACTGGAGAGTTTAAGGAATGTGACTGGAGAGTTTAAGGAATGTGACTGGAGAGTTTAAGGAATGTGACTGAAGAGTTTAAGGAATGTGACTGGAGAGTTTAAGGAATGTGACTGGAGAGTTTAAGGAATGTAACTGAAGAGTTTAAGGAATGTGACTGGAGAGTTTAAGGAATGTGACTGGAGAGTTTAAGGAATGTGACTGGAGAGTTTAAGGAATGTGACTGGAGAGTTTAAGGAATGTAACTGAAGAGTTTAAGGAATGTGACTGGAGAGTTTAAGGAATGTAACTGAAGAGTTTAAGGAATGTGACTGGAGAGTTTAAGGAATGTGACTGGAGAGTTTAAGGAATGTGACTGGAGAGTTTAAGGAATGTGACTGAAGAGTTTGCTACAGAAAGGAATGTGACTGGAGAGTTTAAGGAATGTGACTGGAGAGTTTAAGGAATGTGACTGGAGAGTTTAAGGAATGTGACTGGAGAGTTTAAGGAATGTGACTGGAGAGTTTAAGGGATGTGACTGGAGAGTTTAAGGAATGTGACTGGAGAGTTTGCTACAGAAAGGAATGTGACTGGAGAGTTTAAGGAATGTGACTGGAGAGTTTAAGGAATGTGACTGGAGAGTTTAAGAAATGTGACTGGAGAGTTTAAGGAATGTGACTGGAGAGTTTAAGGAATGTAACTGGAGAGTTTAAGGAATGTGACTGGAGAGTTTAAGGAATGTGACTGGAGAGTTTAAGGAATGTGACTGGAGAGTTTAAGGAATGTGACTGAAGAGTTTGCTACAGAAAGGAATGTGACTGTAGAGTTTAAGGAATGTGACTGGAGAGTTTAAGGAATGTGACTGGAGAGTTTAAGGAATGTGACTGGAGAGTTTGCTACAGAAAGGAATGTGACTGGAGAGTTTAAGGAATGTGACTGGAGAGTTTAAGGAATGTGACTGGAGAGTTTGCTACAGAAAGGAATGTGACTGGAGAGTTTAAGGAATGTGACTGGAGAGTTTAAGGAATGTGACTGGAGAGTTTAAGGAATGTGACTGGAGAGTTTAAGGAATGTGACTGGAGAGTTTGCTACAGAAAGGAATGTGACTGGAGAGTTTAAGGAATGTGACTGGAGAGTTTAAGGAATGTGACTGGAGAGTTTGCTACAGAAAGGAATGTGACTGGAGAGTTTAAGGAATGTGACTGGAGAGTTTAAGGAATGTGACTGGAGAGTTTAAGGAATGTGACTGGAGAGTTTAAGGAATGTGACTGGAGAGTTTAAGGAATGTGACTGGAGAGTTTAAGGAATGTGACTGGAGAGTTTAAGGAATGTGAGTGGAGAGTTTAAAGAATGTGAGTGGAGAGTTTAAGGAATGTGACTGGAGAGTTTAAGGAATGTGACTGGAGAGTTTAAGCAATGTAACTGAAGAGTTTAAGGAATGTGACTGGAGAGTTTAAGGAATGTGACTGGAGAGTTTAAGGAATGTGACTGGAGAGTTTAAGGAATGTGACTGAAGAGTTTAAGGAATGTGACTGGAGAGTTTAAGGAATGTGACTGGAGAGTTTAAGGAATGTAACTGAAGAGTTTAAGGAATGTGACTGGAGAGTTTAAGGAATGTGACTGGAGAGTTTAAGGAATGTGACTGGAGAGTTTAAGGAATGTGACTGAAGAGTTTGCTACAGAAAGGAATGTGACTGTAGAGTTTAAGGAATGTGACTGGAGAGTTTAAGGAATGTGACTGGAGAGTTTAAGGAATGTGACTGGAGAGTTTAAGGAATGTGACTGGAGAGTTTAAGGGATGTGACTGGAGAGTTTAAGGAATGTGACTGGAGAGTTTGCTACAGAAAGGAATGTGACTGGAGAGTTTAAGGAATGTGACTGGAGAGTTTAAGGAATGTGACTGGAGAGTTTAAGAAATGTGACTGGAGAGTTTAAGGAATGTGACTGGAGAGTTTAAGGAATGTAACTGGAGAGTTTAAGGAATGTGACTGGAGAGTTTAAGGAATGTGACTGGAGAGTTTAAGGAATGTGACTGGAGAGTTTAAGGAATGTGACTGAAGAGTTTGCTACAGAAAGGAATGTGACTGTAGAGTTTAAGGAATGTGACTGGAGAGTTTAAGGAATGTGACTGGAGAGTTTAAGGAATGTGACTGGAGAGTTTGCTACAGAAAGGAATGTGACTGGAGAGTTTAAGGAATGTGACTGGAGAGTTTAAGGAATGTGACTGGAGAGTTTGCTACAGAAAGGAATGTGACTGGAGAGTTTAAGGAATGTGACTGGAGAGTTTAAGGAATGTGACTGGAGAGTTTAAGGAATGTGACTGGAGAGTTTGCTACAGAAAGGAATGTGACTGTAGAGTTTAAGGAATGTGACTGGAGAGTTTAAGGAATGTGACTGGAGAGTTTAAGGAATGTGACTGAAGAGTTTGCTACAGAAAGGAATGTGACTGTAGAGTTTAAGGAATGTGACTGGAGAGTTTAAGGAATGTGACTGGAGAGTTTAAGGAATGTGACTGGAGAGTTTGCTACAGAAAGGAATGTGACTGGAGAGTTTAAGGAATGTGACTGGAGAGTTTAAGGAATGTGACTGGAGAGTTTAAGGAATGTGACTGGAGAATTTAAGGAATGTGACTGGAGAGTTTAAGGAATGTGACTGGAGAGTTTAAGGAATGTGTCTGGAGAGTTTAAGGAATGTGACTGGAAATGTTGCTACAGAATGGAATGTGACTCACACAATACTCACACACAGTCAAAATCCTCACACAGTCCCAATCCTCACACAAAGTCCAGTGTATGTTGCCTGTAACAGTGTCCACACACCAATGGGGGTGTCCCCGACAGGTGGTGGTACAGGTAGGCACACCTGTTGCACTTAAAAGAGATAACACCGTCATAGTTTACCTTAAACAGCGGGACTGAAACTAATATAAGCGACACGTCAATAGAGATCACAGATGTGGGTCTATCTTTTAATCAATTGGTGGATTAGTCGGTGGGTTATGAATTATGTGTCCTTATCAGGAATATTTTGAAAACAGTTCTTACCTTTGACTTATATATAAGAACTATATATATATATATATATATATATATATATATATATATATATATATATATATATATATATATATATATATATTACACTATGTTTTATAAACTTCCGCTTACAATGTCTAGTTAATTTTAATTCATGAAATATTTGTATGTATTATTATTGAGCTTTGCTTCATTTCAGTGTGAATTTCATTTCAAATTAATATTTTTTCCTTTGATTTTTAAGAATAACTTTTCTCTTTATTTATCCTGAATAGCGATTGGTACTTACAATTCTAATAACAATTGAATATTCTATTGTCATCCAAAACAAAGCTTCCCTGAAAATTTCAGCGCGCTAGCTAACTGGGAAGTGCCAGAAATTTCGATCGCAAGATTTGATTGGAAAGACAGAGACGAAAGCAAGTTAAAGAAAACGTGGGAAAAAAAATACAGGTAACCCTTTCTTCAAGATAAATCAATGCGACCTCACTCACTGTTCAATAGTAGACACAATTACATATTTCGATCGAACAAGAAAACCAGGAAGCAACACTACAATGTATTTAAAACCTTTAACAATCGTAATTAAACGTTACATTTTCCAGTCACTAAAGTTGTGGTTATTCTAGAGCTGAACGGACTGATTGAAAAATATCGATGGTATTTTTATTGATTTGTCTAAAAAATCGTTGAAACTAATCTGATCAAAGGACCTTTTTATTGTAGTTATCAACATTATGGTTTTAAGATTTACAGTATATATTTGGTTTTCTTGCTTGACTTGTTTAAACAAAGAAACATTATTTATTGTTCTAGTAGACATCCTTGTTAAATACATCAGGGATAGCCTCCTTTAGTTCATACTATTTGTCCGATTGAATGTGTTCAGTCTCCCTTAGTTCATACTATTTGTCCGATTGAATGTGTTAAGTCTCCCTTAGTTCATACTATTTGTCCGATTGAATCTGTTTAGTCTCCCTTAGTTCATACTATTTGTCCGATTGAATCTGTTTAGTCTTCCTTAGTTCATACTATTTGTCCGATTGAATCTGTTTAGTCTCCCTTAGTTCATACTATTTGTCCGATTGAATGTGTTAAGTCTCCCTTAGTTCATACTATTTGTCCGATTGAATATGTTTAGTCTCCCTTAGTGCATACTATTTGTCCGATTGAATGTGTTTAGTCTCCCTTAGTTCATACTATTTGTCCGATTGAATCTGTTTAGTCTCCCTTAGTTCATACTATTTGTCCGATTGAATCTGTTTAGTCTTCCTTAGTTCATACTATTTGTCCGATTGAATCTGTTTAGTCTCCCTTAGTTCATACTATTTGTCCGATTGAATGTGTTAAGTCTCCCTTAGTTCATACTATTTGTCCGATTGAATATGTTTAGTCTCCCTTAGTTCATACTATTTGTCCGATTGAATTTGTTTAGTCTCCCTTAGGTCATGCTATTTGTCCGATTGATTGTGTATAGTCTCCCTTAGTTCACGCTATTTGTCCGACTGAATATGTTTAGCCTTCTTGTCGACATCCCTACCTAAAAATGTCCGGTAAAACATCCGGTTAAACTTAGAGCTCATGTTGATGTAGACGAAGAGCGTGATGGTGGAGTTAACGCCCTCCAGGACGAAGGCGAAGGACCACGTCACGTGGAACATGTTAAAGTAACCGGAAGGGTGGAAATCCCTGCGCACCGCCATGGCTACAAATAGAACACTCGAGGGGAGGTAACTGATGATGAAAAGACTGGAAATAAAGCTTATCATCTTCACGACTTTTCGATCCTTGGAAGAAATTGTCTCCGTGTTGTCTCCCCTGGCAGTGGTGCTCCGCCATTTTGTTTTCTCGTTGAGTTTCACGACGAGGATGATGGTACAGATGATGACAGCGATGAAAGCAACGAACTGCATCAGGACGTTGTTTAAGACGAAGGTCACGTTCTCGAACCGTTCTCGATGTTCGATGAACTTTAACCCGATGAGGCTCGTGTTCTTTCCCGGGTAGAACTTCCACACGAACTGGTTGACGTAGAACTCCGGCGCGGCCGAGCCGGCCACGACGAGAAATATCACGACGACGGCGATTTTCGCCCGGGTGGCGGTGATGATTGTCTTAACCTTGAGCGTGAGCGCGATGCACAGGCAGCGCTCGAACGTGATGAAGGCCGTGACCCAGCTGACCACGCGGGTGAAGCAGATGTGCGGCCACCCGCCCACGATGAACTGTACCTCCATCAGCGCGAAGGGCAGGCCAATGTTCTGGAACATGGGGTTGAAACAGGCGCTCTCTAGGAGAAGAAATATCATCGAGAAGATGTCGCTCACGGCTAGCCCGAGTAGGCTGACGTTGACGGCGTCGTGTAGACCCAGGCGGATGAAGACGATGATGTTGATGGTGTTGGTGATGAGTCCGGCCACGCTCAGGGCGCCGCAGATGGAGACGTAGTTCACGTCCAGGATGACGTCTTTGACGTCATCGCTGATGAATTGGTTGATCACCTGGGTTATCTCGCTTGGAGAGTTCGTGTTATCGTAGATGGCGTTGTCGGCATAGACTAACACTGACGCAAGAGTCGCTGACTCCATAGTCGTCGACGCCGAAGTTGCCGACGCCAAAGTTTCCGACGCCAAAGTTGCCGACAGCTGGTCTGACATCTTAAACAAAGTCTAGCCCTTGTTTTAAATAATTAATTAATTTTAATTAAACGTCCACCTTTAAACTAGTGCCGCAACATTTACAAGCTGCAAGATTTCATAAAACCGCAGCGATTTATTTCAAACTTGGTTTTATAGTCTAAATAAAATTACCATCGATTTGAAACTGGTTACGTCTGTTTTAGGAAATTAAAAAGTAATTATCTGGTAAAATGTTAACGCGATGCAACAGAAAACTTTCTAGACACCGTCTTGAAATGATTCCTACTATATTGAGTTTTCGACTTATAAAATATTTAAACAAGCTAATACTGCACTTTTCTTATACCATCGACATTCAACGCTGCATGCAAATATATTATCCGATACAGTCCTCCACTGATTAAGTTAATTATCCATGCCACCTTTAAAGGACAAGGAAGATATAAGGAGGTGCAACTATTGACTCAAATATGTAGAAATGTAAACAAAACAAAAAACTTTCAAAATTTGCAATAATAATTTACAAACTTCAGAAAATATATTTTAATTGCAATGTAATTTCTGATATCCAAAGCACGACAAGTACAAATTGATATCGATGCCGTTTTAGCAAACAATTATCTCCCTTGAAGCGACGAGTTGAGCGGATTTTTTGCATAGGAAATCAAAGTTTATATTTGTACACAAGGAAATTCTGCTCGGTGTAATTTCGCAAGCAACAATCTTTAAAACTAAAGTTCAAATATTCTTACATCCACTTGGGTCTAGTTTTCTGTTTGTTCGTGAATTGCTCATTAAAAGTTCAGCGTTGTGTCAATAGCCAATAAACTAATGTTACATTCTGTAACAAGTGTTTGATAATTTTTGGATGTGATATGTGACCATAAAAGACACCATTTTGAAATGAACCGCTACAATACAGTCACCATTTTGACACCAAACACCAGGCTACCTTCAAGCAACTAACTCAGTGGGTAGCTCGCTAGATGGTGTGATTTTGTTCTGACGATTGAGAATTTTCGGAGTAGACTACAAAGACATTTACAATTCTAGCTACAACATCATCAGTTTCTTTTATCTCGTGTTTCTTCCTTACATTTCTCTTATCGTTACCAAGTTTCTACTATCAAGTTTCAACTATCCAGTTTCAACTATCAAGTTTCAACTATCAAGTTTCAACTATCAAGTTTCAACTATCAAGTCTCTACTATCAAGTTTCAACTATCAAGTTTCAACTATCAAGTTTCAACTATCAAGTTTCAACTATCAAGTTTCAACTATCAAGTTTCACCTAAAAAGTTTCTACAATCAAGTCTCTACTATCAAGTTTCAACTATCAAGTTTCAACTATCAAGACCCTACTATCAAGTATCTACTATCAAGTTTCAACTATCAAGTATCTACTATCTAGTTTCAACTATCAAGTTTCAACTATCAAGTATCTACTATCTAGTTTCAACTATCAAGTTAACTAATAAGCTTCTATATTCTGGTTTCCACTACCAATTTTGTACTGTTAAACTTCAATACTACTAATAAAACAAAATGAGTTTTTTTTTCTATTATAATTTTTTTCATTATGTTTCTATTATTAATTTGTGTTATTACGTAAATAGTATTCGATTTTTACTTGCAAATTTAATGGCGAGCTTCTTAATTGATTACATTTTTAATTAAATTATGTTAATTGTTTTACATTATCAATTTTCAATTAACATCAAGTTTTTACATCGATTTTTCAAAATCACTTGGTAGTATTTTTCGATTTTTTAATTAATAGAATAGAGTTTAAGTTTCCATGCGTTCAATATTCTTTTAATTTGTATTGATTTGAATCACAGTTCGCTGGCTGATTAATTTGCTTTTCATTTGCATCTGACATTACCAAGGTGTAACCGCCTATGTACTTTAAAAAAGTATATTTTAAGGCATTCAGAGGTAGTAGAGTCCATCTGACTCTGCAACAATAGTCAATGTACAGGGGTTAGCGATATGCCTGGTCAATTATGACACCAGCGAATTAATTCTTGACAGCAGCAAATACATTCTTGACACTAGCGAATACATACTTGACATAAACGAAAAAGGTATTGACACCAGCGAATAAATTGTTGACAATAGCGAATACCTACTTGACATAAGCGAATACATTCTTGACACTAGCGAATACATTCTTGACACTAGAAAATAAATTCTTGACACTAGCGAATAAATTCTTGACTCTAGCGAATAAATTCTTGACACTACCGAATAAATTCTTGACACTAGCGAATAAATTCTTGACACTAGCGAATAAATTCTTGACACTAGAGAATAAATTCTTGACACTAGCGAATAAATTCTTGACACTAGCGAATAAATTCTTGACACTAGAGAATAAATTCTTGACACTAGCAAATAAATTCTTGACACTAGCGAATAAATTCTTGACACTAGCGAATAAATTCTTGACACTAGCGAATAAATTCTTGACACTAGAGAATAAATTCTTGACACTAGCGAATAAATTCTTGACACTAGCGAATAAATTCTTGACACTAGCGAATAAATTCTTGACACTAGAGAATAAATTCTTGACACTAGCGAATAAATTCTTGACACTAGCGAATAAATTCTTGACACTAGCGAATAAATTCTTGACACTAGCAAATAAATTCTTGACACTAGCGAATAAATTCTTGACACTAGCGAATAAATTCTTGACACTAGCGAATAAATTCTTGACACTAGAGAATAAATTCTTGACACTAGCGAATAAATTCTTGACAATAGCGAATACCTACTTGACATAAGCGAATACATTCTTGACACTAGCGAATAAATTCTTGACACTAGAAAATAAATTCTTGACACTAGCGAATAAATTCTTGACTCTAGCGAATAAATTCTTGACACTATCGAATAAATTCTTGACACTAGCGAATAAATTCTTGACACTAGCGAATAAATTCTTGACACTAGAGAATAAATTCTTGACACTAGCGAATAAATTCTTGACAATAGCGAATAAATTATTGACACAGGCGAATAAATTCTTGACACTAGCGAATAAATTCTTGACTCTAGCGAATAAATTCTTGACACTAGAGAATAAATTCTTGACACTAGAGAATAAATTCTTGACAATAGCAAATAAATTCTTGACACTAGCGAATGAATTCTTGACACAGGCGAATAAATTCTTGACAATAGCAAATAAATTCTTGACACTAGGAAATAAATTCTTGACTCTAGCGAATAAATTCTTGACAATAGCAAATAAATTCTTGACACTAGGAAATAAATTCTTGACACTAGGAAATACATTCTTGACACTAGGAATAAATTCTTGACACTAGCGAATAAATTCTTGACACTAGGAAATAAATTCTTGACACTATGAATAAATTCTTGACACTAGCGAATAAATTCTTGACACTTTGAATAAATTCTGGACACTAGCGAATAAATTCTTGACACTAGCGAATAAATTCTTGACACTTTGAATAAATTCTTGACACTAGCGAATAAATTCTTGACACTAGCAAATAAATTCTTGACACAAGTGAATAAATTCTTGACACTAGCGAATAAATTCTTTGATCCCTACTGTCGACTCACGACCCCTGGAAATTCGCCATAACTCTGATCCCTACTGTTGAGTCATGACCCCTAGAATCCCGCCATAACTATGATCCCTACTGTTGAGTCATGACCCCTGGAAATTCGCCATAACTCTGATCCCTACTGTTGACACGAAACCCCTAGAATCCCGACATTACGTTGATCTTTATTGGTCTCTACCAGGAGAATATCCCCCAGGCAATTGAGTCCCAACCATACTTTTTTTAACCAACGGCTCAATGTCGCTCTAAAATTACGTCTATCTACTATATTAATCTTCTACTTCGATCTATTTCTGTGTGATTTTATTGGGGCGAGATTAACGTATCAGCCGCATCAAACTGGAGTTAGTTTGGCTCGTAACATTTTAAACGTGAATATCATCCAATCACATTACAGGAATAGGTCACATGACTAGAGACAATACCGTTGAAAACTGCTGTTCATGGTTTATTTTTCACGGTCTCAAGAGTTTTAAAAACCTTTGTAGTAATATGTAATGTATAGTAATGAATATTAGTCTTGCGATCTGAAATTTTAAATTTTAATTTAAATTTTAAACTGTCGGATTGAAAAAAAAAACAACATCAAGACATCCTTTTTATAAACTTCAGGACTTAATTTCAAGAGTTTAAAATGTGATTTTATTTTTACATTTTAGTTAATACACCATCTGTAAATTAGACTAAAATATTCTCCGTTTTGTCACTACTCTAAAATATAGTTATCCAGTAGCTCATAAAATATCATTTTTAACTGCATGATTATCGATGATTTTGATCAATGGGTGTGAAATCGTTGCCGTGAATTAAATTTAAAATTTGGGTTTCTAATTTCATTTGGATTGTATAACATTTACTTGAGAGATTTTGAGTTGAACCTTGTATTCAAATATGTTCGTGCTTTAGTTTTTGTTCGTTTTTTTAGTCATCCGGAGACATGCAATAATTAAAATTTAGTCAAGTCTTAAAACTATTTCGTGTTATTGGAAGTCACCAGTTAATGAATTTTTTTCATACTGTTAAAATATTTTATCGTATTTAGATATAACTTATTGTTGTATGCTGGTCTCTGTAACGCTAAAATAAAACCTGGACATAATGTGATGTTTTCGGTATGTGTCCAGTGATTCGTGACTTCAACTCTACACATTTATTTAATTTAATTTTTACGTTTGTTCGGAGTTTTCAAAAATATTTTAATAGACATTATTTAAATTTCTAAAATTTTTGACAGTATTTTTTGCATATTCGAAAGACTACAAAAATATTGCTTGATGATTGTTTGGAGTTGTTTGAAATACCTGAAGCAGTATTGCATGAATTTGATTTTGCATGTCCCGAAATCGTGAAAGTTTGTTTGTTAGGATAACATTGACATCGTGTGGGCGAAGCCCTAACATCGTTCATCAGATTCTCACAACTATACATATTTTTACATCACTGTTACAGATGTTCACATCACAGATACAGATGGGACTGATGTTGCCAGTTGTTAAACTCATGAAGGTAGGATTTGTTAAACTCATGAAGGTAAGATGTGTTAAATTCTTGAAGGTAAGATTTGTTAAACTCATGAATGTAGGTTTTGTTAAACTCTTTAAGGTAAGATTTGTTAAACTCATGAATATATCTATATATATATAATTCTCTTTTGAGAGACGTTAGAAAATCAAGCTGCAAGCGCGCCTTGCAGTCCCCTCTCTTCCTCTCTATCGCTACCCCCCCCCCCCCCCCACCCACCCACCACATGGTCAGGTGAGCTGTGGTTCACTCTAAATGTTTACAATCGTAGAGCCGGGTTTGGTGACGGCTATTAGGGGCAGATAATTTAGTTTGAAACGATTTTAAAGTTAGAGAAGGTAACTAAGAGGAGGCTGTTTTCACAGGGGGGGGGGGGGGTAGTGTTTTAAAGCAAATATTTTCAGTGGCAGCATTTGTACTGTCGAATTCACAAATTATGAATTACTGAAAAGTAGAGAAAACAACAGCTAAATAAAGGCGTATGATACACCGCGGGTCGGCTCGTTGTGTATATTTTTTCACACACATATCCACATACACATCAATCTGACTGGGATTGTTGTTGTTTCAGATGAGAGGGATTGTTGTGATTGTGTTGGCTGTCAGCTTAGGACTTAGCGTGCTATTGGTTAACAACAGCGACCAGCTATTTGGTGAGTTGCCGGCTATTTTGTAAGTTGCCGGTTATTAGGTAAGTTGCCGGCTATTTGGTGAGTTGCCGGTTATTTGGTGAGTTGCCGGCTATTTGGTGAGTTGCCGGCTATTTGGTGAGTTGCCGGCTATTTGGTGAGTAGCCGGCTATTTGGTAAGTTGCCGGCTATTTGGTGAGTTGCCGGCTATTTGGTGAGTTGCCGGCTATTTGGTAAGTTGCCGGCTGTTTGGTTAGTTGCCGGGTTTCACATGTCGTGGGGGATCATAATTTTAATGTAAAACAATGAAGCTGAGACGGGGAAGTATTTGTTCTACTGCATGCAATTGAAGAGAAACTAGTTTGATTGGGACGGGGTGGACTGAGCAGTAGAGCGCTGGGCTGCTAACCCGAAAGTCTCGAGTTCGAATTCCGGTCCAAGTCAGTGGAACGTCCCTGAGTCCACCCAGCTCTGATGGGTACCTAACTCCTGTTAGGGAAAGTAAAGAATGCTGAGCATTGTGCTGATCACAGCTTCCCTTCATATGCCGAGATCAAGAAACATGAACTTTATTTTATCTGCCTAATGGATCGCTAGGTCTAAAGAGGATTCTTTAGTTGGATTACTCCGCTTTGTTAACGCTTTCGGCAATGGTGTGGTTAAAGCGATATATCACGTCTATTATGGTGTGGTTAAAGCCACATATCACGTCTATTATGGTGTGGTTAAAGCCACATATCACGTCTATTATGGTGTGGTTAAAGCGACATATCAATATCACGTTTATTATGGTGTGGTTAAAGCCACATATCATGTCTATTATGGTGTGGTTAAAGCGAGATATCACGTCTATTATGGTGTGGTTAAAGCCACATGTCACGTCTATTATGGTGTGGTTAAAGCCACATGTCACGTCTATTATGGTGTGGTTAAAGCCACATGTCACGTCTATTATGGTGTGGTTAAAGCCACATGTCACGTCTATTATGGTGTGGTTAAAGCCACATGTCACGTTATAGGAGGGCTATGAGACAGGTAATTGTGAAGTCTAATCCGTCTAATCCGTCTAATCCGTCTAATCCGTCTCACCTAACCCTAATAACCCCTTACCCTAACCCTAACTAAGATATGATATTGCAAATTATATTATTAATGCAATTTAAACATATAACAATCATAGCTCTGAATGTTTCAGGACCAGAAACCTACTCAGGGGTGTGGCGAGGGGGGGGGGGGGGTTGCGGACCGCACCGGGTGACACCATTTAGGGGGGTGACACCAAGGCAAAAAAGCAAAATATATAGAGAAAAACTTGAAAGGGGGGTGCAAATCGAAAGTTTGAGGGGGGTGAAAATCGAAAACTTGAGGGGAGGGGGGTGTAAATCGAAAGTTTGAGGACGGGGGGGGGTGCAAATCGAAAACTTGAAAGTTTATCCCCGGGAAGGGTCGCTACGCCTCTGGGGGGTGACACCATTAAGTGCCGCATCGGGTGACACCCGACCTCGCTACGCCACTGAACCTGCCAGCTATCCGCCGTACTATCTCTTCTGCCACGCTTCGCTTGAAACAAATCTCAAAAATAAAATTAAAATTTAAAGATAAATAAATGTAATAAGATAAAAATATAAGTTAAAAAAATTATAAAAATATGAAGCTAAATAAGAAGGTAAAAATAGATAATCGTTGTCAGGAAATACGCACTATCTTTATTTCCTGAGACGTTATAAATACCATCAGTCGTGATATGATATAAGCACCTTCAGTCTGATATATTATAAACTCCTACGGTCGTTTATAACGCTATAAAAACCTACGGTCGTATATAACGCTATAAACCCTACGATCGTGATATAATGTTATAAACACCTACGGTCGTATACGACGATATAAACTCCTCGAGTGATAAGACAACTCCGGTCCAGATATTCTAAGAGCTCACCAACAAATCATAGGTCGAGCTGTGTGTAGTGACGCGTGACAAAGAAGACGTGACTCTGACCTTCACAGTTCAGTGAACCGTTAACATTCCTGTTGTTGTTTTTAAAAATTCCGACCCATCTGATCCTTGTATAGGTAACAATTCATGTGAGAAAAGTGCATGGTATTTCACATGGCTTCTGCTGTATATAATGTGAATCAAAACCTGATTTGGCTGAGAGAGTGGTTGTGAATGTGTTTATTAAAAGAAAGGGTGACGCCTGCTTTAAATGGACCTTCATATCGGCCTTCAAGATCAAGGTCAAGGTTAGAGAGTTTTACTGAGTAGTTTATTTCAACGGTGGTTTTTGGTATTTTTGTGTTTAACAGAGAGCGAAAATTAGGTTTTGTAATAGGTTTCCTCAGCCATATTTCATGTTTAGGGTGGCATCTAGATAGAGTTTGGTGGAGCGTATTGAGCACAGTTTTATGTATGGTGCCGCAAGTTGGGTGATCGCATGTTGGGTGATCGCAGGTTGGGTGTGCACAGGTTGGGTGTGCACAGGTACGGTATACGCATGTTGGGTCACGGAGGTTGTGCACGCAGGTTGGGTAAATAAAGTGTCAAATAAGGGGAGAGTTACTGAGATGACGACATGAGACAGAAGGGTTTGAGGGGGGGGGGGGGGGGAATCGACTTAAAATAGTGACGTCCCTAGTGATTAGTGACGCAAAAGCTGTAAACATGCTCAAAGAAAATGATTTTGCTTTATATAAATTCGTGTTCTATAACTACAAGCCCAGAATTTAAAAAGTTACACTTTATAACCTGACGGTTCAGGGGGCAGATGAAGTAGAGTTCGCCTGAAGGGGTAGTGTGGTCAGCGCTATGCTGGCCACCTTGACTTTCTCTAATTGGAGTCAAGGCACCCATCGAAACTGGATGCTTCAACGTTGTACAGACACAAGCCATGGTTCCGACCTCGAGACTTTCAGGTATGCAGTGGTATGTTCTACCATACAACCGCTCAGTTCCGTACGCTCATGATAAACTGTTCGATTTTTGTTCACAGAGATAAGCCGTTCAGATGATCCAGTTTATGAACGTGAGGTAAAGTTACATTTCAGTTAAATATAGATTGTGTCATGTGATTCTATTCTATATCAGCGTTACCTCTATAAGATTATAATTCACGTAGACTGTGTGATGTTATTTAACTAAGTAAATTTGCCAACATAACTGCCATTGGTGGATCTAGGGTGCGGTGTATTGGGGGGGGGGGGGGGGGGGAAGGGGGGGTTAAGAAAAATAAAGGTCTATCGAAAGTTAACGATATATTTTGCATATGTGTAACCTTTATTATATTTTGTATTAAAACCGTTTTTAATGTTTCTTAATGTACGTTTTATAGCAATCTCAGTGGAGACATGTAAGCCATAAATATAAACGTTCACACACACAAACGCAATTATATATATATATATATATATATATATATATATATATATATAGGCCTATATATATATAGGCCTATATATATATATATATATATATATATATATATATATATATATATATATATATATATATATATATATATATATATACATATATACGTTTATATCTAAATATATATACGTTTATATCTACATATATATCTACAATATATATATATATATATATATATATATATATATATATATATATATATATATATATATATATATATATATATATATATATATATATATATATATATATATATATATATATATATATATATATATATATATATATGTATATATATATATGTATGTATGTATGTATATATATATATATATATATATATATATATATATATATATATATATATATATATATATATATATATATATATATATATATATATATATATATATATATATATAGATATATATATATATATATATATATATATATATATATATATATATATATATATATATATATATATTGTTACGACTGTAGGGACGCAGGTTGCAGTTATAAGGGACGAAGCACGTGTTAGAGCTAGATTGCAATTACGGATGACAGCCATATTAACCTGTGACCGTTGGGGGAGACAGAGTGGTGGGCAGATTGGGCGTAAAACCTAGGAAGTTATCATTAGGGTCTGACCTTTCAATTAGGTACGACAGAACTGTGGCGACACCCAAATTAAGCTAGGCTTGGTGGGGGGAAGACAAAGAAGCTGGGGACTGTCAGGGCACGGCAGCTCACCAGTGAGGACGTGTAGTGGTACTGTATTAGACTTAGGCTAGAATAGACCGTTAGGGACAAAGTAGGGTAATCGGACTAAGGACTGTATTTTATTCTAGTTGTAGATAGTTGTATATTTCTGACTGTTGTACTTTGGTGGCGGGTTAATGTTATAGTGGCAATAAATAGTAGAAAGAGTTCCCATTTGTGTTCATTAGTCTTATTTTCTTGTTTTTGTTTACAATTCCCTGACTAGTTCAAAAGGATTAGAGAAGGGGTCGTAACAATATATATATATATATATATATATATATATATATTATATATATAATATATATATATATATATATATATATATATATATATATATATATATATATATATATATATATTTATATATTTATATATTTATATATATATATATATATATATATCTATATATATATATATATATATATATATATATATATATATATATATATCTTGTCCAGACAGCTGCCCCCAGTATAGATGGACCATCCCTCACTATTGTGACGATGTTTCTACGTCTCGGTTCCCTACAAAAAGGTTTTAGTGGCTTGTACAACACACACGAGAAGTACACACAGTGGATGGTCACGTGGGGATGGCTGACCAATCACGTCGTGGCTTTTGTTGAAGACGAGGAAACGCTTCAATACTTTAAGTAGGTGGCGGTGAGGTGGCGGATAGATTGTGGTGAGATGATGGTGAGATAGTGGTGAGATTGTGGTGAGATTGTGGTTAGATTGTGGTGAGATTGTTGTGGGATGGTGGTGAGATTATGGTATGATTGTTGTCTGATTGTGGTGAGACGATGGTGAGATGATGGTGAGATGGTGATGAGATATTAATAAGATTGTGGTTAAACATTTGTTACATATTTGTGAAATAGTGGTGAGATAGTGGTGAGATAGCGATGAGATGGGTAAAATGTTGATATGGTGATTGGCCTAATCAGAACCGTAAAATGAAATTTCTTAATTACCCGTAACAAAGCCATCAATAGTTAAAATAAACAGACACATCTAAATCAAGTCACGTGCGCTCAGATGCTCTGAGATGGCCTGGCCTCTATAGGTCTGGTAAGTAGGTCACCAACCAGTTATACGGCTCAATAAAAGCCTGCATGAGCCATAGAACTGGTTGGTGATCTACTTACCAGCCCTATACCGACATAAAAACTTGGCCAATCTAAAAAAAGCTCAGGTTAATTCCGATTTCAGCACATATTTCACTTGTCTGGACATAGTTCTGACCACAATATCCCTTCACATGCCGAGTTAACTAAGGTAAACAGCCACATAAACCGTAAGGTTCTGAAGGGTACTTTACTTTTTACTTTCTCGTATATACGAAGTATAGAGAAAGTCTTGTAATCGTGAAAAAAAAAATCGACGTTTTACACCTCACTGATACGGAAAAACATAATTTTGCAATCTTGTCCGTATGTCTGTGTGTCTGTCTGTGTGTGTGTGTGTCTGTCTGTGTGTGTGTAAACACGATTACTTGAGTACCGTTACAGCCAGGTTGATGAAATTTCATATATAAGTATTTTATCAAAATCGTAGATACTGATGAACTTTTGAGCGATTTCCCTTAACCGGAAGTGGTACTTTTTCTACTTTGAATTTTTCAAAAGCCTATAACTTGAGTACTATTTCAGATAGATAAATAAAATTTCACAAGTACGTAAAAGATCTAATTCTCTACCTTCTGTTAAATTTTGAGTAATTTCTGTTACCGGAAGTACTAATTTACGCTATTTCCGATTTCTCATAAAACGCACATAAATTTATAAAGTACTAATAATATCCCGCTTTATTATGCACATTTTGTTTTGGCGTTCGCTTGGGGCGCAATTCTTTTTTCTATGAGATTTTATTCTATTTTTAAAAGTTAAAGTAATTAAAAATCATGTCTATATTCCGAGTTACATAAGAATATTCGAGAAAGTTTAGGGGAGATCACTCCCGGTTTATTTACTTTGTGTAGGTTCCAGAACACATTTAAGACATGCTCTAATTGACAGAAAGATCCGCACCCAGCAGCCCGGCCACAGGACAGTGATTGTGAAAATCGACAGGTCCCAGCTGGATGCGTTTAAAAATCTGGAAAAGATCGAAAAGATCTTTAGCAAAAGAGCATATCCGAAGCATCCACCCAACACAGTCAACGCCAACTACAGCTGCGCTATGAGTGCTAAGTATGACGTCATGGCCATGGCATTGGACATGGGACTGGTCAAGACAAAATATCTGGCATGGGTGGATATTGGTCTGTTTAGGTATGGACATTGGTCTGTTTAGGTATGGACATTGGTCTGTTTAGGTATGGACATTGTTCTGTTTAGGTATGGACATTGGTCTGTTTAGGTATGGACATTGGTCTGTTTAGGTATGGACATTGGTCTGTTTAGGTATGGACATTGGTTTGTTTACGTATGGACATTGGTCTGTTTAGGTATGGGCATTGGTCGGTTTAGGTATGGACTAGTCTGTTTAGGTATGGGAATTGGTCTGTTTTGGTATGGACATTGGTCTGTTCAGGTATGGACATTGGTCTGTTTAGGTATGGGAATTGGTCTGTTTAGGTATGGGAATTGGTCTGTTTAGGTATGGACATTAGTCTGTTTAGGACATTGGTCTGTTTATGTATGAACATTGGTCTGTTTAGGTATGGACATTGGTCTGTTTAGGTATGGACATTGGTCTGTTTAGGTATGGACATTGGTCTGTTTAGGTATGGACATTGGTCTGTTTAGGTATGGACATTGGTCTGTTTAGGTATGGACATTGATCTGTTTAGGTATGGACATTGGTCTGTTTAGGTATGGACATTGGTCTGTTTAGGTATGGACATTGGTCTGTTTAGGTATGGACATTGGTCTGTTTAGGTATGGACATTGGTCTGTTTAGGTATGGACATTGGTCTGTTTAGGTATGGACATTGGTCAGTTTAGGTATGGACATTGGTCTGTTTAGGACATTGGTCTGTTTAGGTATGGACATTGGTCTGTTTAGGTATGGACATTGGTCTGTTTAGGTATGGACATTGGCCTGTTTAGGTATGGACATTGGTCTGTTTAGGTATGGACATTGGTCTGTTTAGGTATGGACATTGGTCTGTTTAGGACATTGGTCTGTTTAGGTATGGACATTGGTCTGTTTAGGTATGGACATTGGTCTGTTTAGGTATGGACATTGGTCTGTTTAGGTATGGACATTGGTCTGTTTAGGTATGGACATTGGTCAGTTTAGGACATTGGTCTGTTTAGGTATGGACATTGGTCATTTTAGTTATGGACATTGGTCTGTTTAGGACATTGGTCTGTTTAGGTATGGACATTGGTCTGTTTAGCTATGGACATTGGTCTGTTTAGGTATGGACATTGGCCTGTTTAGGTATGGACATTGGTCTGTTTAGGTATGGACATTGGTCTGTTTAGGTATGGACATTGGTCTGTTTAGGTATGGACATTGGTCTGTTTAGGTATGGACATTGGTCTGTTTAGGCATGGACATTGGTCTGTTTAGGTATGGACATTAGTCTGTTTAGGTATGGACATTGGTCTGTTTAGGTATGGACATTGGTCTGTTTAGGTATGGATATTGGTCTGTTTAGGTATGGACATTGGTCTGTTTAGGTATGGACATTGGTCTGTTTGTTTCAACTGATGTTTTTATCCTTTGTGTTGATACCACCAGAAACCTACTGAACGAAGTCATGAAACCAAAGAACAACAGCTTCATCATGGAGGTGCCTGCAGACTTCAACAGCAGTCGAGTGGGTTTTTCCCAAGTGTCGCCCAGAAAGTACATGGAGAAGCTCAGCCCGTGGGAGTACATCAGGCACAACCAAGTGTGGGTGGCGGGGGGTCACGTGATGGGGACCCACGAGGTACGTGCTGCAGCAGACGACAACTTTATGGGTACTTTTAATCAAGGGCTGAGGGGACGGGGTGGCCTAGCGGTAGATAGCTGGACAGCTAACCTGTTAACCGTCCTGGAGTCCACCCAACTCTGATGGGTACCTAACTCACGTTAGGGAAAGTAAAGGCGGCTGGGCATAGTGCTGACCACACTATCCTTCATATGCCGAGGTCACAGAAACAAGTGAACTCTACTTCACTTGCCCCAAAGTCCGTAGGTTTGGAAGCGAACTTTACTTACTTCACCAAGGGCTGAACAGGAATTGCTTTTGTTATGTCTCTCTACGATACTTTAGACCAGGGGTCTCCAAACTTTTCAGTCCGAGGCCGCATTAACTATCAAATTTCACTTCGGGGGCCAGTTTCTTCCTGGCATGTCTTTAATTTTTCTGGCAAAGTTCCTCAGCCATCACCAACAAACGTTTTTTCCTTGGACAAAAAGATCTCCGCGGGCCGGATGAGAGGACCTTGCGGGCCGCATCAGGCCCGCGGGCCGTAGTTTGGAGACCCCTGCTTTAGACCATTGTTCTTATATCAGGTAAAATGTGTACAATGAGACACAGGTACAAAGATTTTTTAAAATACGCGATTTCATCCTTCAGGCTTTTTTAGAAACGCTCAATCAAAAACTGTGTGACTAATTATAATTAAACACTTTAAAACAGTAAAAATATTTCTAAAAGTTCTAATTCGAATCAGATAAAAATCGCATCAATAATCCGTTACTTGGGACCGCTGCTGCAATCCCACATAGCTACGAGTTTGATATCTGGGGTTAAAACCGATAATCTTTCTAAAACCGAACTGACCTCCCCGTCCCTCCCCAATGTCCAAACACGGTAAGTGTTGTATCTGTAAGTAGGTTCGCACCAGCTGGAATATCATAGATCTAACGTCTGGCAAAAAGGTTGAGAGCTACACTCGATCGTTTGTTCTAACTCTCGCTGTTTAGCTGTTTAAATATATTACAACATCCCGTTATACGCGCATAAGAGAAGGGGAGAGAAGTGTGTTTCTGTTTCATTTTTTTTTTTAAATCCTATTTTTGTATTTTTAAAAAAAAATGTAAAAACCTTTTTTACTAATTATCTTTTTAATAAACAACAATTTAAAAAAAACTAAAAACTTGCATTGTTTAAAATATATATTTCTTATATTATGAGGTTTTATTCAGATTTTAGCAACCAAAGCTTTTATTGAAGAAATATTTAATTAAGAATTTTATATACTATATATTTCTTCTTAGTAAAAATAAATTTTGTTCAACTTTCCACTCTATTTTATTTCATTCTTAGAAAAGTCACACCACTAAGTCTACGAGTAATTTTTTTTAGTTTAAACTGAATTAGTTGCTTTACTATAAGACAGTTATCTGCCCCTTCTTAGTCTATGGTCGATGCACAGGCACAAAATCACTCAGCCGTGAAAAGGCAGTTGTCCATGGACGCTCAACATAAGCCTCATATAATATCTAAACACTAATTATCTTTAAATATGTCTTTGAAGAAATCTTTGAACTTCAATGTGTTTACCTACAACCTTCCCCAGGTCATCCGCACGTTCATCACGTCGTACAAATATGTATCCCAGGAGCTGATCAAGGCCGGCATGTCCAGCACTGACCAGCAGGTGATTGGAGCCATGTACTCACCTCAGTTCCGGCACCTGCAGAAGGTGGACATACAGGGATACTCGTGTGTGGACGGACAGTTTGGTCTACACGGCTCAGACGTGCAGTACTTTTGTTTGAGTTATATATGCAAGGAGGCGGGGGAGAAGGCTAAAAATAGAACTTTTGTTTGAGTTATATATGCAAGGAGGCGGGGGAGAAGGCTAAAAATAGTACTTTTGTTTGAGTTATATATGCAAGGAGGCGGGGGAGAAGGCTAAAAATAGTACTTTGTTTGAGTTATATATGCAAGGAGGCGGGGGAGAAGGCTAAAAATAGTACTTTTGTTTGAGTTATATATGCAAGGAGGCGGGGTAGAAGGCTAAAAATAGTACTTTTGTTTGAGTTATATATGCAAGGAGGCGGGGGGAGAAGGCTAAAAATAGAACTTTTGTTTGAGTTATATATGCAAGGAGGCGGGGGAGAAGGCTAAAAATAGAACTTTTGTTTGAGTTATATATGCAAGGAGGCGGGGGGGGGGGGGGGGGGGAGAAGGCTAAAAATAGTTTTTTGTTTGAGTTATATATGCAAGGAGGCGGGGGGGAGAAGGCTAAAAATAGAACTTTTGTTTGAGTTATATGCAAAGAGGCGGGGGAGAAGGCTAAAAATAGAACTTTTGTTTGAGTTATATATGCAAGGAGGCGGGGGGGGGGGGAGAAGTCTAAAAATAGTTTTTTGTTTGAGTTATATATGCAAGGAGGCGGGGGGGGGGGGGAGAAGGCTAAAAATAGAATTCCCGGTTCTTAATGTAAAAATGTTATATATATATATATATATATATATATATATATATATATATATATATATATATATATATATATATATATATATTTATATATATATATATATATATATATATATATATATATATATATATATATATATATATATATATATATATATATATATATATATATATATATATATATATATATATATATATATATATTGCTCTAATAATACTAGCGTATGTTCGAAAATATTTTTTACCTATGCTTTTGCGATTATTACTTAAGAATATTTATTTGTTGAAATATTTGTTTGTTTGCTTCATTTTATTGGTTTTTAAACTTTTTATTTTTTATTTTAGTAGCGAGTGTATCAGAGCACGTAGAAACCTTGAGTCACAGAAAAAGTAGGTAGACAGATGGATAGCTTTAAATGTCGCGGGTGGGGGCGGTAAAACACCACTCTCTCTTATGGACGTAACGCCTCAACATCATCAAAAAAGTACTTCTTAAGCCAATTTACAAAATGGGCTTGGGGGGTAGAGACTCCCCCCCCCCTCCCCCCAACCCTCCCATTCTAAACTTTCATGCGATTTTTACCAATTAGAATCTAAATTTTAAAATATCACCTTCAGTGGACTAGCCTAGTAGACAAACGGGTATAGTCTAAAAAAATCTGTATATTAATTAGCATTCAAGGGAGACAACGTTCACAGACTCCGTGTGTGTGATTTTCATGGATTGCAGTTCCTGTTGATCCAAAAACTATGTAGAAGATTCATAAATCAGACACTTCAGACAGCCACAATTCATGTTATTAGTAACGGTATTGTATCTGTTACCAAAGATTATTTTGTCAGTTACATAAGGATAAATGTGATATTTACGAAAGACTATTATACAAAAGAATATTCTGTCAGTTTCAAAAGATCGTTACCAAAGATCTTGTTAACGGATTTTTTATCCAGGCGTGCACACAACGGTCTGGGTCGCACACACACACACGTAAATTTAAGCTGCAACACGGTGTGTAACGGCCACAACACGATGTGTAACGACCACGACACACCCATAGCATTGGGGTGGGTATAAGACGAGCAAAGACAAGTCCCATGTAAACTCCACAACACACCCAATAACAACCTCCACAACACACCCAATAACAACCTCCACAACACACCCAATAACACACTCCACAACACACCCAATAACACACTCCACAACACACCCAATAACAACCTCCACAACACACCCAATAACACACTCCACAACACACCCAATAACACACTCCACAACACACCCAATAACACACTCCACAACACACCCAATAACACACTCCACAACACACCCAATAACACACTCCACAACACACCCATTAACAGTCCACAACACACACAATAACACACTCCACAACACACCCAATAAAACACCCACTAACACACTCCACAACACACCCAATAACACACTCCACAGCACACCCAACAACATACTCCACAACACACCCAATAACACTGCCGCCTATCGATTGGTCCCGTTAGTCACGTGTCACCCGGTGTGCGCATGATCTGGTCGCGAGCCATCGATCCATGACGGAGAGAGTCCTCGTTTGTCCATCTTACGGCTCACGTCTGCCAACTCAACCACAAAGCTCGTGAAGGGGGTGGAGTGGGGAGGGGGGGGCTTTAAGATATATTGCAGGCAGAGTGAGGGCTAGGTACAGTCTATTTAATCCAATCAAATTTCTTGTCCATTTACACATCAACCTTTTACTTTCTACTCCAACTTTCAAATACCCTTTCATTCCTACACACATCCTCTCCCTCGCTCACAACACACCCTCTGTCACTCGACCAGTCGCTTCCCTTGTACCCTCGTTCACTCCGTACAACAACACATACACACCAACACACCCGGCCTTGCGTATCGCTACAGGATACACACACACACACACACTCACACGCAGTGATCCGTCCCATTCATACACCTTTCATACACATTACATCACCACCGGCAAGAGTTCTAAAGCGAGAGGGGAGGGGGGATTGCTGGAAGAAATCAATAACTATTTGCCTCAGCTGATTAGCAAGGAATCGATGAATACGTTCAGGTGTGTTGTTATCAGAGTGAAGGCAACTCTTGCAATTATTTGGGGAAGGGGACATAACCTCCAATCACTGTCGAGATCTACTTTTAAGTAACAAATTATCATTTAGAAATAACGTCCAGTGAAATAAAAATAATAGATTGTACACTTGTGTAAAATTTTAGTTTGGGAAAGGGGACATAACCTCCAGTCACTGTCCAGATCTACTCTTAAGTAACAAATTATCATATAGAAAATACGTTCTGTGAAATAAAATAATAGATTGTACACTTGTGTAAAATTTTATTTTACAATGGATAAGTAAACTTTTTTCCTAAACAATGTGCAAGATACCCTGCGCATCAACTAACCGAACCCCTTGTACTGTGCAAGATTCGCGGGTTGATGCGCATCACCTAACTGAGCCCCTAACATTATGCAAGACTCCCGGCCTGATGCGCTGCGCTAAACACAATGTGTAGAAGAACCAAGTGCATCGGACCAGCAAAACGAAAAGAATTTAAACCCCAGGGTATACTTTAAGGTAAAGTCATTGGACCGGGACCCCTCTGCTCTAATGAATAGTCTCTCTCTTACGATATGGTGATTGTTGTAGGGACACTTTTGTATGTGAAGGGTGGGGGGGGGGTGAAGCAGAGACTATACATGCCAAATCTGACATACATTTCATGCAACTGCGCTACACGTGATAAATGCCCAACACCTGTCCTACACATATTGTATATATGACACATACACGCCATATATCAATACGTGTATAACATGTGTACATACATGTACACAATTTTACAAAAATGTAGCCTCGTATTGGTTTGTTCTTTGGTACTATTTTTAGCTGCATCTTGTCATATGTTTGTTGTTATAGATAAAAACCATAACTCTAAAGCTACATGTAATGAGTTTACACAGTAATTCAGACAATCGATGTTTATCTACACGCTATCATCGAAACGTATTGTCATCGATTATTACTAATCACAAGCTTATAGACTAGCATATAACAAATCGATCAAGTTAATCCTATTACTAAAAGACTGCATAATAGATGGGGAAAAATGATTTTCGTGAACATTTTAAATTGCCAAGGACGACTTGAGTTTTTTGAACACCTGATGGAGGGGGGGGGGGGGACTTTAAGAGTTAGTGATTCGAAAATTCTAAATACAAAGACAGCAATGTATACACACACATACACACATACATACACACATACATACACATACATACATACATACATACTCTTCAAACGCATCTACACACGCACACGCAGGCACTTACACTTACACATACATACAAACACATGCGTGTACACGTACATACCCGCACTGTTCTGTCTTCTAAATGCACCAACCTTAACGTCAACTATATCTTAAGCCCACACTAACTAAAAAATGCGGTAAAACTGTATAAAGTTATTTGATATGCGTCCCATAATTTTGTGTGTAGTCACCACTGACTAACTGTGTACAAGGTCACCACTACCGAAAAGTATATATATGTATATATATATATATATATATATATATATATATATATATATATATATATATATATATATATATATATATGTAACAAGTGTAGTTACTAAAGACGATTGATAAGAACGCAATACAGTCTGTTAACTAAGACATGACCAAGGCCAAACTGAACTGATGCAACGGATGCAGGTGGTGTGACAGAAATAGAAACAAAAGTCTAATAATAACTAGTACAAGACGACTGCGTAGTTGGGAGGCGATATAATCGGACTGTACGACAGAAGTGCGGAGTTCGTAGCTATGATGCAACGGATAGAACCGATTACGAATACAAGACGACTGCGTAGTTGGGAGGTGATATAATCGGACTGTACGACAGAAGTGCGGAGTTCATAGCTATGATGCAACGGATAGAACCGATTACGAATACAAGGCGACTGCGT